GATCATAGCCAGAAACCCACACTTTGGGACATTTTAGACAAAATGCTAAAAACCCAAGATACAGAAGAAATCTTAAGAGCAGCCAGGATAAAATGACATGTTATACACAGGAGAATAACCATTAGAATGACCACTGACCTCTTATCAGGAAAAAAAGAAAATGAAGGCCAGGAGACAATGGAATGTTTTTAAGACGCTAAAAGAAAATCGGTCAACTTAGAATTGTAAGTCCCGCAAAAATCTCTGAAAAGTGAAGCTAAAATAAAGGTCTTTTCAGATAAACAAAGGCTGAAAGAAACTGCTATCAACACATACTGTAAGAAATGTTAAAAGGACGTTCTTTAGACTAAAGTAAGATGATACCAGATAAAGACTTGGAACTGCTCACATAAATGCGGAGCACTGGAAATGGTATACACATGAGAAAATACGACAGATTATTTTTCTTTAAGTCTTTAATAACCAATTTACTATTTAATTTAAAATATTAGCAACCTATCTGGGATATAGAACAAATGTATCAGTATAATACTTAGCAACAGCATAAGAGACAAAAAGGGATGCCAATGGATTGTTTTTTAAGGTTTCTACATTATACAGAAATGGAATGATATTCATTCAAAGCCACTGATAAAAATGAAGACTGTAAATCCAAGAGCAACCACTTAAAGTATAAAGAGGTGTAATGATAAACGCCAGTAGAAGATACAGAACTGAATGCTAAGAAAACACTCAGTTAACTCAAATGAAGGCAGGACAGGAGGGACAAAGAACAAGGTGTTTAAAGAGAAAAGAAGCAAGTTAATGAGACAAACACACAGTAACTTGAAATGCAAATACACTGAACAATCCATTAGGAAGTTAGTGATTTGGGGTCTCAACTACTGCTGGTAACAAGACACATTGTAAATTACCAGACACAGATAGGATGACAGTAAAGGGGTGGAAACGAATGTGACATGCCACCGGTAAGCACACAGAAGTTGGGTGGCGAGGAACACAGAAAACCTTAAAGCAAGAAGCCTTATGGACAAAAAGAGAACTGATTTCACACGGGTAAGAGGGTAAATCACCAAGACACAACAAACACAAACGTGTAAGCACCTAATAAAGTTTCTAAACACAGGAAGTAAAATTGAGAAATATATAGAAATTCATAACTTTATTTAGACTGGAAGTTGCAAATCCAGTTAAAAATGGGGGAAAAATACATTCATAAGTGATAAAATCTGTAAAATGACTGTATAATTTTACCAAGAAATCGACAGGTCCTGTAGACAAACTATAAAATTTTGTCAGGATTAAGGACTCATGCCAATGTCTCTGAAGACAATATACTTTCATTTCCAAGTGAAGACATAAACACAGCTGCAGTCAAATTGCCATTGTGGATAATTTTAACTGACAGCACAGGATATTTTTTCTTTTTAAGTATTCACGATGAGTGGGATAAAGGTCATGACGTCTATAATTTATATTCAAGTGGCACATTGAAAAAGAAAGGTAAAAATATGTGGTAAAAATTTTTTTTAATTTTTTAATGTTTTATTTATTCCTGAGAAAGAGAGACAGTGTAAGCAGGGGCGGGTCAGAGAGACAGGGAGACACAGAATCTGAAACAGGCTCCAGGCTCTGAGCTAGCTGTCAGCACAGAGCCCAACGCGGGGCTCGTACCCACAAACTGTGAGATCATGACCTGAGCTGAAGTCAGATGCTTAACCGACTGAGCCACCCAGGCGCCCCAAAATATATGGTAAAATGTTAACAATTTTTGAATGCAGGAAGTAGGTATAAATTGCACGTTTGAATGTACTCTACTTCTTTGTAGGTTTGAAGTTTTAGAATAGAAGATAGTAAAAAATGCATTTATTAAGTAACAATTTCAATAAAAATTTTGGAAGGTAGATGAGGGTGAAGATTATTGGTATGTATGACAAATTTCAACATAGTCACAGTAGTCAAAACAGTACGATCACAGTTGAGGATTAGATAATTCCCATTTAAATGATTTAAGGAATCCAAGCAATTATTCAAGTTTATATGAAAACTTCAACCGGTGGAAAGAGGAATTACCAATTAAAGGTATTGCTTCAACTCACCAGGAATAAATAAAAGACATAACATCAGAAGAACTAAGATCTAACTATGAAAATCAAAATTCTAAAAATACACGAAGAGAATTTTAAGTACTATCAGATCACTGTGAGGACAGGGGAGGCCATTTTCAGCAAGACAAAAAACCAGACTTGATAAAAACAAATGTGCCTCATGAAATTAACTTTCTTTATCATCAAAAAGAATTTCTGAATAGAATTTTTGAAAATCACCTAAAGAAAATATTTGTAACATAGAGAAAATTGTAGTAGCCTTAACAAAATATATAATGCAAACTGATTTATAAAAATATAATTCAACAAAAATAGACAAAAGTTCTGAACACACACGTACATAGAAGTAGGAACAAGAAATAGTTGGCAAACATGAAATGATCTTAAATGCAGTGAATGAGCTATCAGAAAATGGCATTATTTAATGAGCAATAGTTTTCACCCGTATGTTAGGAGGAGTGTGAATTTCTACAATCCTGTTAGAAAACCTATTATGCCTGTAAGTTTCTAGCATCGTGCTCTACACAATACATATTTTTAAAGGACCAGTAGGTAAGACTAAATACGGAAGTTGATTGCAGCTTTACTGGTACTCCAAAACTAGAAATGTCTGACCGTCAATACAGGGAAAGGTTTAACCAGCCTTTACGTCATAGTCCGTACTACAAGATGTTACATGACTCTTAAAACAAGGAATGAATCTGGCATAATCACATTTTTGTTTTTTAAAAAATAGAACAGTATATTTGTGTATATATATTGTATATACTCACACACACAGACACAGAAAAGTACATGGGATGATATTATACCAAATAGATTGTTGGCATGGAGTATGGAAGAACAGAATATTCTTCTAGCAAATCATAAGAGACTCTTAACTGTAAAGAACAGACGGAGGGTTGATGGAGGATGGGCTACACGAGTGATGGGCATGAAGGAGGGCACTTGTGAGGAGTCCTGGGTGTTAAATGAAAATGATAAATCACTAAATTCTATTCCTGAAACCATTATTAACACTACATGTTATCTAACCAGAATTTAAATAAAAATTTGAGAAGAAATAAAAAGAACATTCTTCTTATATACACTTCTGCAGTTTTTGACATTCATTACCTTTAAAATTATTAACCGTCCAAAAGTTATTTAATCCTATAAAACTAGACAGTCTACACCACTAATACACATACATATGCATTAAGCACCAAAAATAATATTTGCAATTCAATTCTTAAATTTTCTCTTTTACAATAATTATTATTGTAACCATTTTACTAAAAATATATACAAGAAACTTGGTACTAACTACATGGTTCTTACTTACAACCTCAAAAAGGACATATGCACATGGGCTCCGGGAAGCTGCAGGCCACCTTCACACACCGAAGGCTACCTTCACGCACCAAAGGCTACCTTCACGCACCGAAGGCTACCTTCATGCACTGAAGGCCACCTTCCCTTTCCCTGTCTTGTCACCGCTGTAAGGAAGAGAACCATGGACAAACACCTGACTCCACAAGAGCGACACCCAAAACCCGTCGCAGGCTCAGAGACACAATGACCGTAAGTCACGGGCGTCCCCTGGGTTGCTGGCAGAAGAGGTTGTGCTGGGTCCTTCGTGACACACTGTCCCCTTCCACGGTGCTGGGAGGGCCCTGGCAATGTGCTCCGACTGCCCGAGGGGAAAATAAGATCTCTCTGTTTCCCTTAAGTAAGGTTCCCAAGGTTGTGTCAGTTTGAGGCTGCACAAAATCTGGACCTGCCCTGCTTGAAGGTGGACTGAATCACACACAAGCGTGGCTTAATCAGAGGAATGGATATCATTTTATCCTATGTATGTAATATTCCTGAAAAGGTTAACTTTTATCGCTAGTCATTTGTAAACTGAATGTTTTTTGTTTGTAGCACCTGAGTGGATTGCTTCTAAAAACCTTAAAACAGACTCCTCTAGAAGGAAATGTTCTCATCAGTCTTTAAGGGATCACGGAGGAAGAATGGAAGCACCCGGACAGAGAGAATACAGACCCGAGGTCAGCAGGACTAGAAAAGACCGCTTAATGAACACTCACAAATCTAAGATAACCATGGCACCACTTAAGATGGACGTGGTCAGACTGGAAATGGCAAAGGGGAAGTCTTAGCAATAAATGCTAGTGGTCACACGTATGAAGTGACAAGCGAGAAGGTTACCCAGTGGACCGAGGTCTGCTGTGCAGATGGTGGCCAGGTGCACAGCGAACGCACCTAATACATTTCTGAATCCGGCAGGCAACACACACCTTCTCAGCAAAAATAAATCCGGCTAATTTCGCCCGATGCATCAGGGCATTCTAAGTCCTCTAACTCTATGTCCATGAAACACACTTCTGATTGTCATTTGGCTTCCTAAATGATCTGAGCACAGTGAATGCCAATATTCTGACGCTTGTAACTAGAATCTACATTCATAGATCAATAAAACGGAAATTCCGTGTTTACACCTCAATCACAGTAGTTTGGCCAAGAAGATTTGGTTTCTGAAAAATGAATCCATTTTCATCGGCTTTTGAATCTGTGACGCCGATGACCAAACACCGGGTTGAAATCAATTCAAGGAGAGGCTTCTTTGCAAAATGACTTCTCTTTGCAAGTACCCTTTCCTGGGTGAGCAGTTTACATTGCAATTCCTATTGTAATTATCCCCACCATTCACTCTCAGTAATTTCATCAAATAAGGAAATATGCAAAGTAAATATGAATAAAGTGCACGTCAAACAAAAAGAAAATACATCATTTCTTTTACATCTCTGCTTTCGGATATAAATTTATGCTAAATTGCATTTCTGTTTTTAAGGATAAGCTTATTCCGGGCAATACTTCCTAGGCTTCTAAATGTTTAAAAATTATCTTTACCTATGTGATTGATTATTAAGGTTTAGCGATCCGGTCTGGTACATCTCTTCCAGCTGTTTCCTGTTTCCAAAGTATAAAGCAAGGTCTGTGGCAATGATGGCTTTGCGGATGATCTCAAGCACCTGTTCGTATTCGCTGGAGCTGAGGGTGGAGAAGATATTGTGCCCTTCCAGCTACGGAGAAAACACAAAGAAACCACCGATAGCAAGCACAAGCTCTCATCTTACAACACTTCCCATCACTTGAAACAAACAACCCCTTCAGTCAATGGCACCTGGCACACAAATGACAGGTTTGGAGGAAACAAAAGAATCGTTTGCAGTGATGAAGGAAATTAACATCGCGGTTTCTCTGTCGGCTATGGCTACAAGACCGAAGCCGCCACTTCAATGAACCATTTCAGGGCCACAGCATCATTTGCTACCACAGACTCCCAGGGATTTAAATATACAACCTGGTTTTGGATATTTCTAGTAGGCGATTAAAGGACTAGAAAATGGGTTTAAGTTAAAGACATTTCTTTCTAAATTAATTTAAGCCATTAGTAATTTTTCATATTGTACTGTAAATTAATGGGCTTCAAAAGTCACGTATATCTTTGTCTACTTCAAGTATAGTGAACAGTAAACACTTTTTCCATATCCTAAAAGAAAATGTCCCACAACCTCAAAATAAAGTTTCGTTAGGCGTATTCAAGTTTCTCCTTATAGGCAACGGCACTTTCACATGAAACGCCCGTCGCTGCGGTGCAGAACTGTGGGGTCCCCTCGCTCTTCTGCTGTCCTCATGGGAGACGGGACAGCAGACCATCAGCCCAGACAAGGCCAGAACATCGGTCGTTTGGCCTCTACCCACTCAGAATTATTCTTCTGCTTATGAATCTCTTAATCACCTTTTACAATAATTTCTTCCTCTGAGAATCTTAAGCCTTGATTAGTAATTGAGATAAAAATTTTGTTCAAACAAAGAAAGGCTGAAATGATAAAGATGCATTCAATTGTGGGCTCCTCAATTACTGTTAAATTATTCATTGTTAGTCAACACAGTCTTACTGTAATTGATGGTTAATGGTTTTCACTTGTTTTAAGCTATCTTTATTGGCTGATAAAATACATTAAAAACTTGAAATTATTAAAATAGGCTTTTTCACAAAGTCAGACATCTCACTAAAGCATTGTCTCCTTCCCACTATGCTCAAATAAGGCTGTACATGCATCACTTGTTTTCTTGATTTTTTTTTTTAAGTTTATTTCTTTTGTGAGAGAGAGAGAGAATCTCAAGCAGGCTCTATGCTGTCAGCGTAGAGCCCGACTTGGGGCTCGATCCCATGACCCTGGGATCACGACCTGAGCCAGAATCAAGAGTCAGACACTCTACCGACTGAGGCACCCTGGCGCCCCACAGTTGGGTACTTTCCAGATACTAATAATAGCAAGGCCTTACATTTGTAGAATGTTTTAATTTAATAAAGCATTTTCAAACACATGATTTCACTTTCAAATCATAAAGCTTTCTGTGATGTCTAACTGAAATAAAGTATTTGCTGAAACATCAACAAGATTTTTCTCTGAGTGAAGAGCAACTGTACTGTGTGTATAAACAGGTCACTGCAGTGACTGGAGTCGCATGATCTCATCTGGAGTAGCTTTCATGGATACAACGGAGCCAAAGGGTAGACGCGACGACGGACATGAGCGCAACACAAGGAAGAGCCACCAGCAGTTCAGCCACAAAGGGGACTGGGAAGGGGGACAGGGCGGTGCACGAGCTGTCACGGTGCGGGGTGGGGGGGGTTCAAGCGCAGGCTGCTCAGCACTGAGGGCACACGGGGAGGGGACTTGGGCTCTGGGAAGGCACATGAACTCCATTACTTTTAAGCCCCTTCCATCCTCAGCTCTCCAAAATTTTAGTGCAGAAAGTTAAAGAACTGTGCTCTGACTTCTGCTATGAAATGTGCTTGGTTTTCATTTGATCATAATTCCAGCAAAGTGGCTGGGCTGTTTCAATTCAGTGCCTTGTCACCTACGCTCCCAAATCATTACCATGTTTCAAGCTGGTAAGTGTGCTTGGTATGCATGCACACACGTGCTTCTATCACATGGAGAATGTGATTCTGAAAGGGAATCACGTGGAATACATATTTAATGCTTTACTGTATTACCACTAAACCATTAAATTATGATGTATAAAAATATTCTACCATACAGATGAAAGCACATTTTTTAAATCTCTCCAAAATAGAGACCTCTTAGTCTGGGTTCTAGAAATTCTCTCAGGGACCACAAAGTTATGAACTCACTGCAAATATATACATATATATAATATATGTTGAGTGTGTCATCTGTAAGCATGTTATTTCATCAGATTCTCAAAAGTATCCATGATCTAGGCGGATGGAGGCCCATTTTAAAGGATCTGTATATCCTGTTGGCAACTTCAGGTTTATTATGTCTTTTATCACTTTTTGATATTAAAGGGAATTAGGTGGAAAAGTTCAGTAGAGGATCTTTATAATGAAAAATGGTAAGATCCTTTTACTTCCTCCTTCAAAATTTTGCAAGAGCAAAGGTAATAAATGAATATACAAACAGGGATTCCTCCCTCCAAGAGGATCTAGTATATCTTTTTCAGCACACTGTTCCTACCAAAAGAAAAGGAAATAAGGAGATATAGTAACCAAACACAGCAGATACACAGCTTAAAATCTTTTAAAAGCTCCAGTTTCACATCAGGTAACATAATGAAACCTCATAAAATAATACAACACTTTTATGTATCAACTAGTAAGTTCACTACAGTTAATTTCCTAGGTTACACTGTCAGAAGTTGATTTTATGATAATTCAAGGCAAGTTCATCCCATTGTGCATCAATCAGGCATAAGGTAACCAGTATTTGAGACCCAGAAGTGTTTCTGATGCGAAGCTGGGGTGCTGCTCCCTACGGTGGTGTTCACAGAATTAACACGTGTGTGTACTGACGTGGCAGGTGTCCAGCCCACGGTGTCTCCGTGCGTGGAAGGGTATCTGCGGCAGAGTTAGTACCTACTCAGCATCCTTAGTGCCTAGTCTTGCCGTGGCCCTGACAAGGGAAGTTCATTCCTGGAGGGGCTCACAGTTTAGGAAAGGGAGAGAAGCTCAGAGCACATGGGAACACAGACAGAGTCAAGGGCTCCAGAGGAGCGTGGGCGTGGACACGGGCGGGGACACGGATTCTGAAGGACAAGGAGGAGCCTCACGTGTACAGAGAGCAGGGGGAGGCCACATGTGTGCGGTGGGAACCACACACCACACAACTGCAGCGTGGCGCAAGCACATCGTCTACACGGAGAAACGGTGACAGAGTGAGACAGGTCAAACAAAGGCCTGATGTCAGAACTGAAATGATCACCGGAAGGTACTTACTAGGGTCACCACAGGATGAGGCCTCTTTTAGGACAGTCTCTCTGGGAACACCACGGGTAGGGGGTAGGTTAGGAGGGAAGCAGGGGGCACCCTCATCCACCTCTCCTCAGCAGGCTTTTAGAATATTATCAATAATCGTAAATCATTCTCCCCATAGCCCTGTGCTGCTCAGCCCTATCCACAGAGACTCTTCAGGGAAGGCCTGGGAGCTCAGATTCCAATCCCTCATGCCCACCAAGCCGAGCTCACCCCGCTCCCCGCCCTGCCCCGCCACGTGGCCCCAGGGGTCGTGAGTCCCACCACAGGAAGCCACAGGCACGGGCTGACTCATTTGGGGGATCTGAGATAAAAAAGTCTGTGGCACTGAGCATTCACAACAGCCACAGCCTGATATCCATTCCGATATCTGATCACCTACTGCATCAAACCACAAACCCCACGCCAGGAAGCATGCTAGTCCTGTAACTAAGAACTCAGGGTTTGGAGTCAAGCAATTCTAGTTTTTCTTTTTTTTTAATTTTTCTTTTAACTTTTTAAAAAAAATTTATTTCTGAGAGAGAGACAGCGTGAACAGGGGAGGGTCAGAGAGAGAGGGAGACTCGGAGTCTGAAGTAGGCTCCAGGCTCTGAGCTGTCAGCACTGAGCCCGACGCGGGGCTCGAACCCACAAACTGTGAGATCATGACCTGAGCCGAAGTCGGACGCTTAACCGACTGAGCTCCCCAGGCACCCTGAGCAATTCTAGTTTTTCAACCTGGGCGTTACTTACTAGCTGTATGACAATGGACAAGTTACTTAACCTCTTTGATGTACATTACCCTCATCTATAAAATGGAAATAAATGGTAATAAAAACCAATGTGTTAATATGTGCAAAATTCTTAAGTTTCTGACTTATTTATGTATACTAGTTCTTAAGTACTATTATGCTGTTTATACTGAATGCCTAATAAGTGACTGAATGATTACTCTGATGATGGTGGTGATGAAAAGGGCCAAATCTCCCAATATACCTTCTGCAGTCAGAGCTAAGGGGTAGCAAGGAAACTCAACAAATACACACCTATGCCCACAACTCAATTTGGTAGGCAAAGACCACCTCTATCCATTCCGAATACATCCGCAGAAAAGGACAGATTCAAGCTGGCCTCTGTACCATTATCTATCTTCTATCGGGCCACGCTGCCAGAGGAAGGACAGTTCCAGACCCATAATCACTGAGTAGCCACAGCGGTAAAGATCTGTGGAGATCACGAAAGCAACAGGCAAAACCTTTCGTAATCTTTTATACAGATAAACAGAGGTATCACAGATGTCCGTGTGATCTAATAGTGTATTACTGTCTCATAGTTTAGTGACTGGAACTTGGAATTCTTACTTTTTCTCTAGGATATCACCTTAAACTAGTCAAGTCTGGAGCTGTGTTGACGGAACATAAAGTTGGCCTGCCTTGGCGACTGGGTGTTGGGTGTTGGGGGCGGGGAAAAAACTGACTCTAAGGTCCTCTCCCGGTGGCGGCTGAGCGATGGAGGCCGCCCCCAGAGGAGATGCAAGATAATAAGCAGCATTTTGGTCACATCGAATGCTGAGTTCAGGTGTTTAGAAGTCTCCCTGTGCCCTGGGCTGGGACGCTGGTGTGAGAGGCACAGCCTCCTGGTGACGGCGAGGACCCCAGAGAGGGGGCGGGAGGGCAGGGAGATGAGCAGCGTGAGGGCGGAGCTCTGGACACGCGCCTCCCTCAGACACACCAGGAACTCCTGCAGAGAGTTCAGTGATTTCCAGAAGAGGAAGGAAGCCTTCCCTGAACAGAGACAGGGCCATCTGTTTATGACCCTGATACATCTTTCCCTGTCAGAAGTCACAGGAGGTTTTAGGTTCAGGATATGGATTTGGTGAGGCCTGTCCGTGTCTAGATCAAGTAGCAAGAATGTCTTCTTCTTTTTTTTTAATGTTTTATTTATTTCTGAGAGAGAGAGAGAGCGTGAGCAGGGGAGGGGCAGAGAGAAAGGGAGACAAAGAATCCGAAACAGGCTCCAGGCTCTGAGCTGTCAGTACAGAGACTGACGCGGGGTTCGAACCCATGAACCGTGAGATCATGACCTGAGCTGAAGTCGGAGGCTTAACCGAATGAGCCACCCAGGCTCCCCAGAAGAACATCTTAAAAGCAATAAAATAAGAACAACGCACACAAAAGAAAAACGAAAAGGGCTTCCATGCACTTAAACCTGGACTTGCCCGTATGTTGGGGTGTGAGAGCGTGACGACCCACATAAAGAAATACAACATGTGAGAAAAACTCTGCCTTAGAGCATCATGTGCTTCAAAATCAAACGTGGCTGCAAAGTAGATACGTATTCAAGACCTTCACCAAGGGTTCACGGTCAGAGCGCCCCACCGTTACCTACTGAGGACACATGCACGAGGGCCTGTGTGCAGCTGCGGCTGTTGAAGGAGGCCCTGCCCCCCAGCTCCCCCACCCCTGTTTCTGTGGAAGCAGCAGCACGTCCTGGGAGGGGACCCAACCACACCGGAGGCCGCACACGGTCTCACCTGCAGGATGGACACGGTCTGAGAGAAGTGGTGCTGCTCCATGGTGGACGTGGAGTAGAGGGCGGCCAGGGGGTGGTCGAATTTCTGCAGGTAGCTGTTACTGAAGCCCCTGTGGTCCAGGTCGTGACACAGACACGCAATCAGCAGTCCTTTGCGCTTTAAAAAAAAAAAAAAAAAAAAAAAAAAAGACTCCAGTGCACAGATGTTCAGAATGAGGAATCAGAAATGAGATTTACAGCTACTCGTTCCCAGCACGTGGACAGAGTCCTGTCGCGGAAACAGCAGACACCTTTAGGGATCTCTGAAGTTCCACAGGGTCTGTCTTCTTCCTTAACCGTGTTCTTTGTTTTTCTGCTTTTATTTTTTTAAATTTTTTATGTTTTATTTATTTTTAGAGAGAGAGAAAGAGAAAGAGTGCAAGCAGTGGAGGGGCAGACAGAGGGGGAGACACAGAATCCGAAGAAGCTCCAGGCTCTGAGCTGTCAGCACAGAGCCCGACGCAGGGCTCAAACCCATGAACCATGAGATCATGACCTGAGCTGAAGTCAGACGCTTAACCGACTGAGCCGCCCAGGCGCCCCCGGCCCTATCCCTTTCTTAGCCTCCCTGAGCAGAACGGGTTTCTCCTGCAACCTAATGGGCACGGGGGGCTCCCGGACCCCCCTCAGCTGTTGCAGGCTCACAGGCCACAGGGTAAGTGAATTACTTATGTTCTGAGTAGCATCTGGGTTTGGGGTTGTTCCCATATTTTATGCTATTGTGTTAATCATGATGAATCTGGTAAGAAATTTCGAGGTTTTAAAATCTTGCACAATAGATAAGTAGTGAAAAGCTACTAGGTACATCTTTTCAATTTTTCTACATATTTTATTTTTATTGATATAATATTCATTAGTTTCATTAAACATATGCCAGAATCAAGCATGTGAAAATAATTCACGAAGTGAGGAATTACCTTTGTTAATCTACTCCTTTAACAAGATCAACTGATAATCTCTAATTAACTCGATTAGAGATGAAAAATCCTTTTTAAAAAAATCTATTTAACGTTTTTACACATATTACTTTGGGATTATTTTTAGGCAGAAGGACCTGAGGACTTGTGAAAACGTAATGAGGCAATTCCAAAAACAAACGGAACTTAAATGAGACTTAATTTGTGGCCACAAAATTTTCTCACTTATCTCAAACGTTTCCATTTTTGAATGTACGTCTCAGGGCAGCTGAAAGATGGTTTCTATAGTTGTCAAGCTCACAGACTGTCCAATGGCAAAGAAGGCAGTGGAATTGCTTTCTTTCTTTTTTAAAATGTTTGTTTGTTTGTTTGTTTAGAATGCATGGCAGGAAGAGGGGCAGAGAAAGAGGAGAGAGAGAATCCCACACAGGCTCCTCACTGTCAGCGCAAGGCCCAACGAGGGGCTCAATCCCACGACCATGAGATGATTTCCTGAGCAGAAATCAAGAGTCGGATGCTTAACCAACTAAGCCACTCAGGCACCCCTGAAATTGCTTTCTTAAAAGGAACTGAATGGAAAAAATGCTGAATGTCTCGAAAATATGGGGTTTAATGGAATGGAAAATCAGCTTAAAATTTATATGAAAAAGGAACACATTTCATTTTTTTTTTTTTTTTGGTAATAAATAATCAGTTGTTGGGCTAACCAAGCCCTACCAAGAGATTATTAATAAAAAAGCAAACTCTCCCTAAAATAACACTTTTTTCAAAAATGCACCCTCTGAGTCTCCTCCCAGACTGGGAGTTTGGCCGGACAGGACGGAACACGCACAGGACAGGCCTCGGGGGCACTGGGCTCTGGCGTGAAGGTGCCTGTGAGGGGAGCACGGCACCTTAATCACCGAGGTGACAGTCTCCTTCTCTCCAGGGCCCACATGTCCTCGGAAGCAGGGCAGGAATTTTATGGAGGAGGAGAGCGGGTTTCGAGTTGGGCTTTTTTGCAGGCACCGCTGGGACCAGGTGGGGAAAGGACGTGCTTGGCGGTCAGCCTGGCCGGGGCACATCGCGGAGTGTGGGGCTGGGCGGTCAAAGAAGGGGCTGGACCGCGGTGCAGGAAGGGACTCAGCAGCCCCAAATCTCTTAGCCTGTCGCCGGCTCTGGGTATAAAGTCAGGTGGGTCCGTGAGGCATCACAGAGCCCGTCTCCTCATGCGACAGGAGACCATCCATGTCCTAACTGTACTTAATGTTCTGGGTTCTCAAATCAGCAGGAAATGCCTACATTACCCGGGGCACAAAGGCAAGGAGAAAAATTTACTTTGTTTGTGTAACACAGACTTGCAGAAGGCTTGCGCTTTCACAGGGAAGAGGGACTCCAAAACGAATGTTTCCTTGGGGGCAAATGTTCTGGTGAAAGCTGGAATTTCTGCATCTCCATTTGTGATACAAAATAATGTGAAAAACACGTGGGCACAGCAACTTTAAAGTGTGCTTTATTAAGTTACGGGGTCGCCCTGGGGTAACGTGTCACGTACCCATGTTGGGAAGGTGTTCCAGACGTACGGACCCTGCATCCCCTCGTCTTACCCGAAACAGAAACAAAGGCGTGAGGACACCCACCTCCAGGTCGGTGAAGAGCCCGTGGTTATTCTGGAGTATGGCGTACATGCAGTGCGCCACGGTGACTGCGTGCTTCCAGTTGTGATACGGAACCCGCCGGTAGTTCTTCTTCACAGACATAATGAAGCGACACAACTTTTCAAGCTCAAAGCTGTGCGGAAAAGAAAAAAATCCCTTAGGACAGGAACTGGTAATGAATCAATACATTCTGGCTAGAACTCTGGTTTATTTATTTAAAAAATTTTTTTTTAACGTTTATTGATTTTTGAGGGACAGAGAGAGACAGATCATGAGCAGGGGAGGGGCAGAGAGAGAGAGACACATACACACAGAATCGGAAGCGGGCTCCAGGCTCTGAGCTGTCTGCACAGAGCCCGACGCAGAGCCTCGAACCCACGAACCCTGAGATCGTGACCTGAGCTGAAGTCAGACGCTCAAGCTACTGACCCCCCCCAAGGCGCCCCTAAAACTCACGTTTGAACACATATGTCTGGGGGCACCCGGGTGGCTCGGTCATTAAGCATTCCATTCCTGGTTTCAGCTCATCATGAACTCACTGTTTGTGGGATCAAGCCCCGTGTCAGGCTCTGTGCCCACAGCAGGGAGCCTGCTTGAGATTCTCTCTCTCCCGCTCTTTGCCTCTCCCCTGCTCACATGCACGTGCACCTTCTCTGTTTCAAAATAACTTAACAAGCATTAACAAAAATAAACACATACGTATGTACCCTTATACTTGCAGCTGTGAAAATTTCCACAGTGACTGGGCCCAGGAGGGCTGAAGCCTGTCTCACCACTTTCCCTCTATTTCTTTAGCTACTTAAGAGCGGAAGACTCAGAGCTTCTGGTCTGATACACTAACTGGCCTATGAGGGAGCAAGTACCAGAATCAGCACGCAGGTGCCTGTCACTCACTCCTTCCGTCCTTATACACATGTACCATGCTCAACAGACAACAACATATCATCACTCCGTTTAAGGGTATTTTGAGCTCATATTTTCCAAAAAGTATACTCAGATTCACAAATTTCAAATATGTATACCATGAGAATTTTCTAGATGAATGACTATCCTTTCAAAGTATTATGGTACACTCAAATTATTAAGTGGCAAAGGGCCACACCAAAGTCCTGACACCGTACATAGAACAATATGACATGTTTAAAAAGATTTTTTTAATGCTTACTTATTTTTGAGAGAGAGAGAGAGAGCACGCATGCAGGAGTTGGGCGGTGGGGGGAAGAAAGAGAGGGACTGAGGAGCCAAAGCAGGCTCTGTACTGACAGCAGCGAGCCTGACAAGGGGGGGGTTGAACTCATAAACCGTGAGATCATGACCTGAGCCAAAGTTGGACGCTTAACTGACCGAGCCACCCAGGCGCCCCAAAGCTATGTTTTTATTGAGCAACATTGTTGTTATATTTTATTTTCACATTTCATGTATTTCTACTTATTTCAGGCCCTACCAACTCTCTCAAGGAATTTAAGCAGCTTAAAGGAAAAGCACATCAATATAAAACAAGGCTCTTTGAAATACCAAAGAGACAAGACTTCCTAAAACTTCTAACAATATATAACCTTTACTTTTCTCCACTGGAGCTTTGCAAATGTCCTTGGAGAATTAGGTATGTCATTTTAAGAGTTCCAACTGGTCCAACTCTCAGCTGATATCTAAGAAATGAGTGCTGTTATTTACCCTGTGTACATTCTTTCAAAGGAATGATTTATAAAAGTCACCAATAAAAGGACAGCCTGGGTGGCTCAGCTGGTTAAGCATCGACTTCAGCTCAGGTCACGATCTCACAGTTCGTGGGTTCGAGTCCCATGTAGGGCTCTGTGCTGACGGCTCAGAGGCTGGACCCTGCTTCGGATTCTGTGTCTCCCTCTCTCTCTGACCCTCCCCTGCTCCCTCTCTCTCTCTCTCTCTCTCTAAAATAATAAACATTAAAAAACTAAAAGTATGAGAAGACACAGAATTCAATAGCAAAGGAGTGACAATTTAGTTTCAGAGAAACCAAGAGCTTTTATAAGCCACTCAATGATTAAGTGAGTAAAAGAGAGAAAAAGAAAATTATTCCCTGCATGTGTGTTTAAGTTGTAAAAAGTTAAGTGGAAAGTCATGAAAGGCCTCCAGGACAGGCCACAAGAGAAGGAAAGACCCACAGGGGAAAAGAGCCATGGTGAACTCACTAACGAAGCACTTGGTGCTGAATTAGGAGACCTGTGTCCTCCACACCCGTTCTCACAGATATGGGCTGGAGGTTGGAAGTTGATGCTAAATTTAATCCATGTTTTCCAAAAACCTCTTGAAAATAGTATGTAATGATGTGGAGTAGTAACCCCTAGCTCTTTCCGTTACACAGCCTAAGGTGATTTTCCCCCGTATTTTTATCATCACCTGGTAGAGACATGGTTGTTAGCCGAGGGACAGCCACCTTGGCAAAGAGCTCGGAGTCAGGGGGCGCTGTAAGGGAAATCCAAACCCCAAAATCAATTTGTCCAATAACCTCAGTCTTTTTTAATTTAAATATTTAGAAAAAAAAAATTATTTACGTAAGGCATATTTTCAGACAGTTATCAACCAAGGAAGTGGCAAGGCATTTAGGCAGGGGGAGGAAGGGGTCCTGTCACTCAACAGCTTAAGAAAGAAGTTTCTGGGTCATTCATACCAGGATGTCCCACAGGACCGATGGACCATGTAGACAAAAATTCCAGGCCACATGTTTTCAAAAGGACCAATGTCAAAGTGGAATCTGAAATGAAAGAACACAAGGCTGATTAGTAAACATAATTAGGATAAACATAAAAACAAATCAAGGAAGTAATTTAACATTTTGTCTATTAAGAAACTAAAAAAGCACTGAGAGTTTAGCCATCTCTTTTCCTGCTGTCTTAGTCCCAACTTTGTTGTATTAAATGTTTCCAGGAGGAAATTCCACACAGTCCCTTAGGAACTCAGCCCAATATTTAAGCCATTGCTTAATTTTCTATGAAACAATCTTTAAAAAATGATGCTGTGGTTGTTATCAGAGCAATGAAAAAGTACAAAATAATTTTATTGTGAGTACTACACGTGTTTCACATGACTCATAGACAAGAGGGAAAAACAACTTTTCTTAGAGCTGAAAATTATTCTATCTCCCATCTAAGCCTAGAGAGAAACTTCATAAATACAAACATCCAAAGTTATTATGCATTTTGCACTTGCTAACGTACCTACTAAGATTTACCCCCATGAACAACGGTAAAATATTTAAAAGAAACCATCTTTGTCTAGTTACACTTCTGACGCCGGATGTGTGAGTTTTGCACACCCAGCAATTCTCCGACCACCTGCAGACGCCAACTGACGCCCTCTAATGCGGTGTTTTTCTGACACTACCCAGAGCTAGTGTAGACAGCACGGGTCCGGCTCAGTCCCACAACACTGCCCCCGACTGTAGGTGTCAATCCAAGGCCGCCCACCCTTTTGATCCTCAGCTACAAATGAGAGGTTTCCACCCCCCTTCCCTTAGGTTTTATAAGGTGCAACAGCTCACAGAACTCAGGGAAACACTTCACTTACTATTAGCAGTTTATTATTAGGGATTTGAGTGAGGAACAGGCAAACAGAAGAGAGTCACGGGGCACAGCACGTGGGAAGGGGTGAGCTCTGGCCCGGTGGTGACTGAGTCACCACCTTCCTAGCACCCAATGTGCTTATCAACCCGAAAGCCCTCCAAACCCCTCGTTCAGGGTTTCTGGAGGTTCCATTCCACAGGAACATTTGATTAAATCACTGGTCGCTGGTGACTGACTCAATCCCCAGCCCCTGTCCCCTCCCAGGAGATCTGAGGGTGGGGCTGAAAATTACAACCCCCAAACCACATGGCTGGGTCCTTGGACAACCAGCCCCCAGCCTCCTAGAGTCCTTCCACAGCAGAAACTCAAGTGGGGTTGAACAAGTGTCATTATGAATAAGAAAGGACACTTCTCTTCCTCCCATCACTCAGGAAACTCGAGGGTGTAGGAGCTCTGAGCCAGGACCTAGCTATGAAGATCAAATATATATATTTCTTATGATATCATAATACGTATTTTACACAAACCATTAGAGGATAACTGAGGCGAATAAAAAAATCTTAAGAGCTTATTTGAGCAAAAATCCATTGTAATAAGACAGTAGCAAGTCTTTTGGGACAGGAGCCAGCAGAGAATTCTAAAATTCACTTTGTAAATTTAAAACTGCATGGAAATATAAACTTTTAGATATTTGAGCTTCAATGCCACAGTGAACAATAAGTTCTATGTTGTTTTAAGGAGGCAAAAGACAAAGGAGGGAAAGCCAACATCTAAGTCAACCCATTTCAAGATGGCATCCAACATCTAAGTCAACCTGTTTCAAAATGGCATCCGGATTCTTTTTTTCTGAAGATAGAGACGTGGCCTTGATTCCCATGTTCCGTCATGAGACAGGCAGTTCCAGTGCTACCCCCGTTTTGTGTTAGGCTGAATCAAGTTAAGACTGTTCCGGAAGAAACGGGACAAACACTCACAATTCAATCTCCTTGCAGAGGCGCACCGGGAGGTTAAAGCTCATGAGGCCTTGCCACTCCTCGGCGGTACAGATGCTGTGGTAGGACAGCTTCTCCATCGTCACCCGGTAAATGCACTCCGAGTGTCGGATCCTGTGGTACATCTGGAGGGCGAACCCACAAGGTCAGGAGGAAATTCAGTGAGCGTTTAAAGTAGGTGCGTCACTAAAGTTCAGAATCGGGCACAAGAGAATCGGTCAGAGCTAGAACTGAAACCACTTTTATTGACCATTAACTGCTACTACCATGCATTTCTGTATACACTGAAGACATCCACACGTGTGCCCCCGAAGATACAAAATGCCTGTTTTTTATTTCTTGTTCTTTGAATTGTATCTCCGTTTTAAAAGGCTTATTGAACGCTGAAATTATCTCTGGATAGTGAGATTACTTGGTATTTAACTAGTGCTCCCTTATTCTTAGGCTCCCTCTCTCCAGAACTGGAAGAGACTCCAATGTCTGCTGTTTCTAGGCCACCCAGTCTATGGTATTTTGTCACAGCAGCCCAAACACATTGAGACAGAGACTAAATGAGTCAGGACTTAAGACTGCTTTCCTAGATCTCCTTTTAAAAATATTTATCTTAGGGGCGCCTGATAACTCAGTGGGTTAAGTGTCCAACTTCAGCTCAGGTCATGATCTCACAGTTTGTGGGTTCGAGCCCCGCGTCGGGCTCTGTGCTGACAGCTCGGAGCCTGGAGCTGCTTCGGATTCTGTGTCTCCCTCTCTCTGCCTCTCCCCCACTTATACTCTGTCTCTTTCTCTCTTTCTCAAAAATAAATATTAAAAAATAAAAAAAACAAAATATTTATCTTAACTCTTGGTGACCTCAAAGTCCTTGGGTCCACAGAGTCTCGACAATGTTTGACCATGAAGTTCTTTATCAGTAAAAGAATTTTGGGGATGCGTGCCCAAAAAATGTATACTTCTTTAGTGATTATATGCACAGGCAATGTGCAGATATATTGTTTATACTAATACAGAAATTTAAAAAGATAAAAAATGGAAAGTATATATATTTTAATATTTTATTTTATTTTATTACTGCATAGGATTTTTTGTTCTTATTAAACAATTACAGGCTTTGAAATGAAAGCACTAATTACATGTATGTTGTTAGGCGTCAAGTTTTTTCTTTAATAATTTGTGAGATGGTGATGTTAAGGTCTGGGTTCAGTTTGATTTTTATTTCAACACTTAGATTTTCAGTTATGCGATTAGAAAGAGATATGCCCTAAACACCGCAGATCCAAACAGAATAAAGATAGCACTCTTTGAGTTCTGCTTCCTGGCCACTGATAGTTTTGGCTTAAATTCACATAGCTTTCCATTTCCCCTGATGAATATCAGCTCATCCTGCAAACAAATTAGTTGCATCTTTATATATATCTCAAACAGGTTCATTATGAAACTTAATGAAACTCTTCACGGAGAAGACTTTAGTAACTTAAAAGCTGTTTCATAAAGTAAAATCATAAAAAAACATTCCATTTTAAAGGAAGAAAGAGAGGTAAAAGGGAATAAAGAAGAGATGAAACAGCAACATGACTAGAGATTTATACTTAAAATGTGAGAGTTGAAACATCCTATTAAAAGGCAAAAATTGCCAGACGGAATAAAAGGCAATACCCACCTTATGCTGTTCACAAAAATCCTACTTTAAAAATAAAGACACAAATGAGGTCAAAGGATGGAAATTGTATACCATTTCATACCAGTGAAAAGAAAGCTGGAGGGGCTGTATTACTGTCAGATAAGGTAGGTTTCGAGCAAAGACTACGAGCAGGGGTAAAGAAGGATAATTTCGAATGATAAAGGGGTCGATTTGTCAAGGGGACCTGATGCTCTTAAACGTCAGCTGGTTTTCAGCAGGTTCACAGAGGCCACATGGTTCAGCACAGACAGCAGATGTGACAGACGGCGCTGGACCGACTGGACACGCACGCGCAAACAAGTACATGCACGAGGACCCTTGTCTTGCGCCGCACACAAAAGTTTACTCCAAATGGATCTCAGGCCTAAACGTAAAACCTAAACTTCTAGAAGAAAGCATAGGAGGAAATCTTTGTCACTTTAGGTTAGGCAAACATTTCCTGGAGATGGTACTGAACAGCATGATCATAAAAAAAAAAAAAAAAGAAAAAGAAAAGAACTAATAATTTGGACTTCTTCAAAGTTAAGAACTGCTCTTAGAAAGAAAGTGTTAAGATAATAACAAGACAAGTCAAACACTGGGAGCAAATATTTGCAAATAACCTACTGATAAATGACTATTTAGCAGCATGAAATATGCAGCTATCAGACCCAGGGGACCACATGGCCATCAGCCCGGCTGAGTTTGTGGCTCAGGGTCATGGGATTTGAAGGCTTGAGGGGAAGACAGCCTTGGCTGTGCGGGGCGAGAGGATGTGCTGAGTTACGAACTCCGTGAAGAGAAGAGGTGACTATCCCTGTTTGAGACTGTGTTGGAAAATAGTCCCTACCCACTGAGGAAACAAAACTCAACCTGTAGCTTATGTAACTGTAGTTTCCCAATGTATACTGTTGGCATACAATATCATAATTTTAAGCTAAAAAAATGAACAAACAAAATTAGTTTCCAAACCATGAACACTTGCGGCACCTGGGGAAAGTTATACAATCCTGGGGGTACACATCTCCCACAGAGGAAATAATTCCAGATGAATCTGAGTAAGTAAATAAATATCAAGTAAATAAGGAAATGAGTAAATGAACTCAACAAAGGAGAGACCAGTACAAGGCTGAATCAATAGATGGGTAACCCTAAGATCTGAGTTAATAAGAGAGATTAAAAATACACTGTTGTAAAAATGTAGCATTTGGCATGTGACTTCCTACACGTGTGAAGCTACTCTAGTTTACAGAAATCACAGCACCAAAAATGCAAAGGAATGAGAACTATTTTTTCTTGACCAGATCCTAGGGAGATGTGTTTAAGATGCTGTCTTTCCTTTTTTAAAAATTTTTTTTTTATTTTATTAAAAATGTTCATTTATTTTTGAGAGACAGAGAGACAGAGCATGAGCAGCAGAGGGGCAGAGAGAGAGAGAGAGAGGGAGACACAGAATCCAAAGCAATTTCCAGGCTCTGAGCTGTCAGCACAGAGTCCGATACGGAGCTCGAACCCCTCGAACCGTGAGATCATGACCTGAGCCGAAGTCAGATGCTTAACCGACTGAGCCTCCCAGGCGCCTCAAGATGCTGTCTTTCTTAAAGACAGGCTCAAACTATCATAGACAACCCAGAGAGAAACCTTTCCATGTGAAGATCTGCAAATGTGACAATATTCTTCTCCAGATCCTTTCCTTGATATGAAACCAACAGGAGAGAAGAAAAAAAAATGTACATATGCACATATATATTACTTTTGGTGTTATGTTCCTAGTAACAAGGATAGTTTCGTTTAGAAGAAAGCAAAGAGAATTAAATCACAAGACAAATGACCTAAGCTGTGCGTCCTGACGTGCTTCGCGGTATGGGAAATGGAGACGTCCTGTGAGTAAGAATTGCTGACTTCTCTTACTCTGTGAATGTACATGTTTTCTCTTAGGGTTGACCTCAAAGTTCCCTCTGTTAACTCTTTCTTGCTACTTTCTAGGGAAAACTGAGTCAAATACCAATTAAAACAAAAAGAAATTCAGCTCATGGAAACAATCAACCAGCTATATATGTAACAGTGAATTGGGATTTTATGAAATTGACTATGATGACTAGTCACAAAACACAAATATCATGACTAACTAGAGCTAAGCACAAGGGGGTATGGCTGGGTACCATGTACTAGGAAGCTTACCTATCTACTACCTCATTTAGTCCTAACAGCAAGCCGATGCTTGGTATTAATTCCTACTCATTAGTTTAGGAAGTAGACATAAAAGGAAGCAAACTAACTTTCCCAAGGTCAAAAAGTTGGAAAGTTGGAAGTAGTGGTATTAAAATGCACATACATCTGCAAATGGCAGGATTTCATTCTTTCTCATTGCCAAGTAGGATTCCATTGTATACATAAACCACATCTTCTTGATCCGTTCATCAGTTGATAGATATCTGGGCCCTTTCTATAATTTGGCTATTGTTGATAATGCTGCTATGAACATTGGGGTACATGTGTCCCTGTGAATCAGCACTCCTGTATCCTTTGGATAAATTCCTAGTGGCGCTATTGCTGGGTCATAGGATAGTTCTATTTTTAATTTTTGGAGGAACTTCCACTGTTTTCCAGAGTGGTTGTGGCAGTTTGCAGTCTCACCAACAATGCAAGAGGGCTCCTCATTCTCTGCATCCTCACCAACATCTGTGGGCTCCGGAGTTGTTCATGTCAGCCATTCTCACAGGTGTGAGGTGGTATCTCATGGTGGTTTTGATTTGTATTTGATGAGTGATTTTGAGCATCTTTTCATGTGTCTGTCTTGCCATTTGCAGCAACGTGGATGGAAGTGGAGACTGTTATACTAAGTGAAATAAGTCAGTTGGAGAAAGACAGGTATCATATGTTTTCACTTGTATGTGGAATTTGAGAAATTTAACAGAAGACCATGGGGGAAGGGAAGGGAGGGAAAGATAGTTTCAAGCAGAGAGGAAGGCAAACCATAAGAGACTTTTAAATACAGAGAACAAACTGAGAGTTGATGGGGGGGTGGGTGGTAGAGGGGTGGAGGGGAAACTGAGTGATGGGCACTGAGGAGGGTGCTTGCTGGGATGAGCACTGGGTGTTGTATGTAAGTGACGAATCACGGGAATCTATTCCTGAAGCCAAGAGCGCACTGTATACACCATATGTTAGTTAACTTGATGGTAAGTTATATTTAGAAAAAATTTTAAAATAAAAAATTAAAATATTAAAAATTTTTTAAAAAATGCACATCTCCCTGATTTCCAGATTGATATTTGAGCAATATTCAGCATCCTTCAGCACAAAATGTGGTCAGAGAATGATTTAAAAGGGTAGAGGGAAAGAGTGTCCAATGTGAAGGAAAAGTTCTATCTACCACAGAGCACGCACACCTGAGAGCTATGCCTTGGAAATCAACACAAGAATGGACACTGCCTGTACTCAGCACCTAGAGACCTCAACAAGTACAGA